TCTTGCATTAAAAGCTGGAGAGATTTTACCGTACAGCTGCCAGTATCTTCAGATATCTGCCTGAGCATCCCAGAAGCCACCTATTTACCCCAGGACATTCCATTACGCAGAGCTCAACTTCAGCCTAGAACTTTAAACTCCAGCCCATTCCACCTTTAAAAAATAAGGATGATTTCCCTGGCCATCCACTCCAGACTCTGGTTACAGAACTTGAATGAGACATCACCACAGTTGTTGCTGGACTCAGACACCTGGAGCACATGATGCTATGGCTCTTTTGTGTAAGGTTCTGTAGCCTGGCCAGGAAAAGAGAGTGGGGGTTCCCTGGCCTCCCACTCCAGACCAAGTTTTTAACTGCTGCTGAAAACCACAAGTGTGTGCTAACAGCAGGAAATACTTGCCAGTGCCAGTGAGTTGGCCAGATGGACAAGAGCATATGTTTGTTGTTTTTGTTGGAAATATTCCCAGCATGGGAAGAATTTTTGGCATGCCCTAACATTGGCATTGGTTAGGGCATGCTATTGGTTTTCTTGGCAAGATATGGATTAAGAAGTAGCTATTCATACACATAGGAAATACATACTAAAGCCCATTTAGTAAGATGCATACCTACCAATTTTCTAATGAGAGACACCTTTCAGCACAAAGTATGTATGCAGAAGGATGCACCACCATTACACCATACAGGAAGAATTAAGAATGACATAACATTATTGCTTTTTTCACCACTATCTTTTTTTATATTGGCCAACTGCAATAATTCATATACTTGATGAAGGTAGTACAGTATAATTATTTTGGTTTAAATTAGGACACTTTTATAGAGGTTTGTACATTAGACGAAAAGATGGACATTTAAGAAAGAATGAAGGAGAGATAGATTTAGTTCCAAAAGAGGAACAGTGCCTCCAAATGAGGAACAGTGGTGGGTGTGAACCAGAATACCCACAAATAAAAACATGTAATCATTGGGAGAATATACTTACTCCATACAGACATTAGAAATCAGGATAGGACCCTGGTGCTGCAAGGCTGCTGTGTTAATTACAGTCACCATACTGTTAATTGGCTATAACTGTAAGCATCACAGTGAAAGAATGTAGAAGGACTAGAATTCTTGTTTACTCTCCAAGTTAGGCTGGTATCAGTCCCTTATTATCCTGCTGCTCCTCACAGACACAATAGCCACACATTACCATTATTTCATTGTTCTCCACATTCCATGTACTGAAGTCAAGTGGAATGGATAGTGAGCATCTTCTTTAGTCTTCAGAACATTCCATACATTTCACTTGCTCAAATACCATCAGGGCCACTTATAAATACAGACTTGTAACATTGCATAGCTTTCTGGCACGTAACCAGCTCCCTGTCGTGTGAGCCAACACACACTATGAACAAAGAAAACCACATTGGTTTATTCTGCACGGAATGATTTCAACTACAAAAAATATGGTCCTGAATAGAGGGTTTACTGCTAATGATTGCTTGTATTTCATCTCCATATTGTGGAAAGGATGTGGCTGCATGTAATAGTTTAGAAAATGCCTTTGATTTGTCACCATCCAGTGGAAGCAAGCCTATTGGCTCCTCCAATGTACTGTGATATCTTCAAGGGAAACTGTAATCTTTATGCTTCATAGATATATGCTTTAAAGTGACCAGCGTAATGTAAATAATCGTATCATGTGTTTTAAAGTTCAAGGGAACTTAAGGTTAATTTAGCTAAATACATTCCTTGTGCATCAAAACATAATCAAAACTGGAGCAGACAGAATCTGGAGTAGTTGCTCATAGTGACAAATCAGCTTCTCTCTTCAGTTTGTTCAGTTAAGCTTTGAAAATGAAAGAGAAAAAGCTGAAAAACTGCAGTAGATTCTGTCTGTTCCAGTTTTGATAAATTCAGTTTATCATATTTATGAAACTGAACAGCCAGCACCCAAATGAATATAACTTTTTACCCTAATCTTGTGCAAATCGTGTGCAATACTAGAGTTATTCCACTCAGCAACATGTATAAGTGAACATACACTGCTCACCCAGACAAACTTATAAATCTGAGCGTTTTTGTTTTACCTTATGAATAAAACCAGAGACATATGGAAGCACAGCGAACACAGATTGGATGTGGAAATGTTTGTGGATAACACAGCAGAAGGTGGTCTTAGATACGCTGTGGATAATTGCATGGACATGGAACTATTTTAACATTTCAGAATATACACTCATCTTCACATATTTGACTCATGATTGGAAATTTTGTTTTGTATTTGTTTTTGTTTTTTTAATTCATTTTAGCTGTTTGATACTTTTCATAGTATGGTGATGTTTTACATATGTGGAGAAAACGTCCTAGGGCATTTTAGTGATATAAAGTTGTATATAAGTTGTATATAAAGGTGATATAAAGGGGAGTATAAGACCTTACCGTCTTTAGGTTTCAAGGATTGCTTTTAAGCGGAAGTAAAGTCCACTGTGGCGGGTGGGCTCTTGCCATAACATGCAGGTATGCACACCCTACTTGCATATTATGGCACACTTACCTGACAAGTGCTGTTTCATCCACTGCCCCCATTATATCTTCTGCTTCTGGGTCCCTCGTCATTTTGTCTTTTCGTTGAGCTGCTTAAGATACCGTGGCATGCACATAGGAGTTACATCGTCCTCGCCACCCAGCTCGATTCCCAGCATACTGCAGATGCTGGGCAGGACCCAAGGTACACAAAAGATAAAAACTGAGTAGTTAGAAGCAGCTTTTTTTTGTCAGAAGAGACTTGGTGTGTCTATTCTGCCAAAAACTCTAATTTGTAGCAGTTTTTTATTTTTTTTTAGGTTCATACTTTAAAAGAAAGATAATAATAGCTAAAATGATTGCTTACTGAAAATAAACTATAGTTTCCTTTTTAGGTGTTTTTTTTTTTTTAATTTGGTGACGTGTAAACATTAAAAAAAACTATGTCTTGTATATATGTTTTTTGTTTTTCTAGTAATAACCTTGTTATGAATCACAACTAGAAAACAGAGTGATAAAGAGTGTAATCTTAATCAGTGTTATCATCAGGCTTTGATCATGGTCTTACATAATAAAATTATCTGCCAATTGTTGGCCAGGTAAGATTGTTTTACCCATTACATTCTGCACATGCTACAATCTGCAAAGAGCATCTACTATTGTGACTTGCACTGATACTAATTCCTGGAGTGACTCCAAAGTTGATTAAAAGCCTCGAATGGAGAATCCCCCCCCCCCCCAAAAAAAAAAAAGAAAGATCCAGTGTGCAGCAACACTATTTGGGACTTAATACTAATAGGCTGTAAATGTACAGTTGGGGGATTCATATATGTTCACAGGGTTTTGGTATAATATGGCGTTGTGAAATTTCTCCGGGTTTAGTTGTTTTGCATTGTAGTAATACAGCAGGTAATCCTAAAATCTGGATGCACAACAGCTGTGAGACACTGAGCTACTTCTAATCATGCAGAAAATATCTATAACACTGGGAAATTAGTGTCATGTGTAATTATGGTGATTAGAAAGGCTTGAATATTGTAGCAGTCGGCAATAATGAGATTATCCTAGCATGTTTCAGAAAATAACCACCACCACTGATCAGGGCCCTTATTATAAGTGTAATGAATTCACCTCCTTTAGAAACCAAAGGCTTATTATGAATTTGAAAGTGTAAGGACATTATACTGTGAATACAACACTTATGTTTAGGGGTACTCCACTTGTAAACTTGTATTTATAGCTTTGCCTTCATTAGCTCCAAAATGACTTTACGGTGGACTTCTCACCTCCTGTGTTTTCTCGCATGGTTCTCAAGAAATTTCAAACTTTAATCTCCACAATATCCTCCCCAAGTAACGGCCTCAAGTGTGCATTTATTTTTAGTTAGAGTTAAGTCATACATTTATTAAAGTAACACTAAACTCAGGAGTTAAATCTTAAAAATGTATTCAAGTACCTTACCTATTAACAAAAGTGTTTCTTATTTGTGTATCACTCAGCTGTAGATCCTCAAATCTTCTGTGAATTGGTGCTGACACTGTCCTTCCTTCTGGAGGGTGGCTACTTTTGTTTGGTCACTGTGTGTGTTGTACAATAGCCGCCGCTCCAAGCTCTCTCCTGTGATAGACTATAATTTCAATACAAATTAGTAAACTAAACATAAGATTGTAATCCATCATGGGATTGAGCGAGAAGGAAGCACAGTGTCAGCTGTAGATCCCCAAATCCGCCATGAATTGGTGCTGACACTGTCCTTCCTTCTTGCTCGCTCCCTTTTTCTTTGCTTTATAAGCCCCATTATAAGAAGATTCAGTGTGCCATAGCCAAGGAATTCTTGCTGCAGATAGTTAGCATAAAGGTGCACTGAAGGCATAAATTGAACACGTGGGCTGATCTTGTCATGTAAAGTGACCCCAAGTGCATAGAGCATGCATTTTCAGGAGCCTGGGTCCATGCTCACATTATGTTCAGAACATAGGAACATAGGATTCCCAAAACCTGGGGTGCTCAATTATGGAAATATCATCCATGGCTTGTCTGGTTGAGCGTTGGCCACACTTTCCTACTGGCAAGTGAGGCTGCCTATCAAAAAAAAAATGTCCTTTCTGCTTTGGTGTTGTTTCCAGTAGGGATTGATAAAAATGCATATAACAGTCATGTATCATTTCCCACCTAAAATGCATCACTTGATGCAAAGAATGCAAAGGTGTGATTGTAGCTCAACAATGGACTGGCCAGGCCTGAAGCGACAGTCTGGCAATTCTTGCATTTGTAATTGGTTCCAAAACATGCGCTTGGGCATTAGGGAGGGCAGGGCATACATATTACTGCCGGGTCTACTTTTTGTTCTTAGTCAGTCCTACTCTGTGATCCAAATCAAGTGCTATCAGAATTGATTCCCTCTGTATTTACTTGGTAATATATTGTCATTTAATAGAGTGCAGGAAAGGTTTTAACAGCAGTATCTGGTGTTCTTGTCTCTTTGCAGGTTGTATTCTCTGCTCTGGTCACACCTGCATCTTACTACGGCTTCAGAAAATCCTGCCGCTGGTGTGTGTGAATGCCCGTGGAAGCAGCTATGGGTGAGTACCTTGATATTCTCACAGTGTTTCCTACATTTCCATACATTCACAATAGAATGACAATATTCAGACAGTGACCTGAGTGTCTGTATAGATTTAGATATCATCTTCTGTGAGCCATCATCTTGTGATTTTATTTAGAATAGGCACCCCTGTTGGTCTTAAGTAAAGTGTTCTGTTTTTAGTCACTGAGTTTGGATGTGCATTTAAAATGAGCAGCATGTAATATGAAGTACACTTCACACTTTGAATTGTACACAAATATATTAATGAACTACAGTGTGGGGGTGTATGGGTACCACATCCCAAATCATAATCAAGGACAAAAGAAGAGAACTTTAAATCGGACTTTTAAGGTACCCCTGGGGTCAAATATGAACGATATATAAAAACATGATTACTTTCTTTTAGGTCCTAAAACAATGACAATACCAGATTAAACAGACATGCATGCAAATATATCCAATAGCCCAAACGTCTCACATCCCATAGAAGCATATAACCCGTGTTCTTCTCTGCAGCCTTATTAAGGGCTTTGTTCCATTTTAGGTACATATCATTTCAGTCCATAGGATCAGGTGAGAAGTGTATTGTCTTCTAAACACTCAATGCGTTTCATGGTAAACCGCTTTATCAGGAGTGGGCTAAGGAGTAATAACAGACCGAACAGACCCTGAGTGCCAATTGGGAGGAACCAGAACAGGGCAACATCAAGCTAGCATATCCATGATATCTCAATGATCATCCACAAAGCGCCAAAGATGATCATCAAGTGGGTGCCTGTAGCCGTGTGGAACCTGTGGTCAACTTTAGTGAATCATTCTTTGAATTGCTAAAACTGTGCAATAAATAATGCATACTTCACCAAAGGAACATCTTCTTTTCACTGAGGGGTATATTAAAAAAAACTGTCTACATTTGAATGCCTGGATTTACAATTGTTCGCCAGTACAACTGGCTGGCAGATATTGCAGAGGGCAAGTCCAACTGAAGTAGAGGGTAAATGTGCAGTGAATGTGCAGATAAAAGAGCAAAGTGACTTACTATAGCAATTGTGTTGTCTGGATATAACAGTTCAGGGTGGCATACATTAGTTTTTCTTTAAAGTAGCCCAGTTGTTGGAAAAAAATAATAAAATTGGCTGCAATACTTACTTTCACCCCAATGCTTTCACCGGAACACTCACTATTGTCTGCTCCAGCACCAGTCCTCAAATACTCGGAGATGAGCCATCATGAGGCCCTGAGCCCACAGTACAATGCTAAAATGCTTCCAGAAAAGAGTCAAAGAGGAAGAGGACTTTGTGCCATTTAAAAAGAGCTATACTGTATATACAATGCATTTTCCAATAAAAACATGCAGGGGCCTCCAGTAAGAGGGAGGGGGGTGAGACTGGAGTTAGACTTTAAAAGTGCTGTAAAGTTTTTAATATATGCTTTATTTTCTAAAATGTAAGAAATTTGAAAATAAGCCGTAATATGATCTGCCATTCAGAACATACATAGTGGGGCACACTGCTCCCTCTTCATCTTATAAGACTCAGTTAGACAGAGGCAGCCAGGAAGTGGGCAACATATAAGAACTTTCCAAGAAAAACTAGACCCGCATATAAATGGAGAAGCTAAAGAGTGCAAGTGTTGGCTCTAATACCCAGGCTGGAACGGACATGTTTACAGGGCAATTGGCTGCCATGGAAAACACATTCATTTTCCTTACCTTCACTTTTATCAAATGCATCTGTTAGACCCAGTTCATTGTGGATTGGCATGAGAATTGTACGAAGGTGCCCTGTTGTTGTGAACAGGTTAAATGCATTGCTGCCTGCTGGCATTTGGAAAGACTCGCTGCTCTGGTGTCTTTTCTCTCCTTCTTTCCTTCTCCATGGCAACTGCAATGTTGAAGTACTTCAAAGCAGCTCAACTCTTTACTGATGACAAAAAGTATATTTATAGCACATTTTATTTATTTATTTCCGATTTCCGAGGTTTCCAGTGGTACCACTCCAAAAAGGAGCTCAGCACATAGTGCGAGTGTGCATGCAAGCTTTTGGGACAAGATTTAACATTTGAAGTGATTCATTAAGTAGACAAACATGAAAGGAAAAGTGATCCAGTGACAGCACAGCTCCTCACACTTTCTATAAAGGTTTTAGGATAAAATAAGTGCTGATTTTACTCTAAAGCACATTCTAAGTGGGTAGAACTGGTGATGAAATGTATGGGGGGAGGCTATCCCTCTTTAAAGCATCCTTTCCAGTGCACATTTTTATACCCTTTAATAAAACTTAGAGCAGACAGTTACCAGTGTCACTGTTCTGAATGATAAAACAATGACTTCAGGCTTCCTCAGTAATATAATGATTGTAGAACATAATGTAGACTTGGCGCGCGCGAGCAGAAAAAAATTGCCGTCTGGAGACGGCAACCCGCAGATGCTGCAGTGCCGTCCGTCCGTTTTTTTACTACGGGCGGACGGCAAGAGGTTAAGGAACTTCATTTCAGCCTGGCAAGGAAAATCCTGTCATTAAAAAAAGTTGTGCATGTGAAGTGCCTATAGGTGCCTGATACTACTGAAGTGAACCCTAATCTTTCTGCCTTCTGCAAAAAACTTTTGAATGGTCAGGATGCCCATCATCGTAAGCTAATAGGAGTAAGTGTGTCTGTGTGGGGGGTGGTTAGGAGATCATGGCAAGCTCCAACACTACCTAAAAGTGTAGTGCCTGAGCCCAAAACGTGTTGGCTGTTATATCGTATGTCACCTCAATATGAAATCATTATAAATATCTTTGGACTCCAAAACCATTGGTTTGCGGCTCTTAGTACATTCACCAGTTCCAATACATGTATCACAAGTAGGCACATTGCCATTTAGGACAGGCAGAAGCAGGAAAAGAGAAGTCAGGAGAAACCAAAGCTCAGTGCCAAACTACATGGCAGGAATAAGAAAAGATGGATGGGACAGGCAGATAAACCGGACCTTTCCACTTAAAAATCGAATTCTATCTATGCATCCCTCTATGTATGATGATTAATAATAACATAGACATGTCAGGTGTAAAATGCTGTGATTTTAAAATACTTACACTTGCAGAGCATTCACTTCCTGCATTGAAAGGGCAAAACGACTTCAGTTTGCTAAAACAATGCACGCTGAGATTGCCTTGTCATCAGCAGAGCATTGCTGGGAAATCTTATCTGTAATCTCATGAGATCTCAGGGAAAGGCATTTTCCTCCCATGGGATGACGTGCAGGGTCACATGTTCTAGTCACATGTGCCAGAAATCCCGGAAGTAAATGGAGAGCTAGTAATCTGCCTTTAATAAACATGCCCACTGTCAAGAGACCGGGAAAGAAAAGAGAAATAAGGTTATGCAAATAATACAAATCCTGCAATTATCTAGAAGTTTGTGTTTGTAGATTGTCATTACTAAACATTTCTAAAGGAGTGTTTGTTGTTATTTTAAAGATATGGGTAAAGGTCTGCTTTAAGTTGTAATCCGAAGTAAGGCAAAAGTTAACAGTAGGAGAATCCAAATTAACCTTATCAGTCAGCTGAGTTCTAACATGGGCAGACATACTTGGAACAAGGAACCACTTTTGGAGGTAACCACCTATCAGAGGATATTGTGAGTATCCATTCAAGTGCAGTACAGTGATTAAACCTCATGCACCTAGAATCTAAATGGCATTGAGCAAGTGTGTTACTGACAATTCTTTAAGCTCTCATGAGCAGGGCCCTCCTAACCCTATTGTACTGAAATGGTATTGTAACTGTACTGTCTCCCCCCACTTGCAACTGTAAAGCGCTGTGCAAACTGTTGGCGCTAAATAAATCCTGTATAATAATTTTGTGCCCATTCCCTCATTTTCCAAGTCTACAAAAAAACTTCAGGGATCTAAGCATTCATGTTCATGTCTGCATATGAAAACATATATCAAAAGTCAATAAATCAGTCATTTTTAGGAACAGATATTGAACACCATAGACTGTTCCTATAAATATATGATGTATATTTTTGTAGAACATATAAAACCTCCCCAATGCAAAACAATGGTCCAGTTATGTCCTCGTCACACCTGTGTGCTTTGTGTGTATTTGGTAACCTCCCTGCTCTGCCACAGAACAGTGTGTCCAAGGAGCTGTGTACAAGGATGCTTATGAAAATGGCAGGTTCTCTTTGATAACTCTTATGCACACTTACGAATGTCTCCTCTCAGCATCCCAGAGTGTTTTCTTTTTGCCCACTTCATGGCTGCTATCGGTTTCATATTTTTATACTTACAATTAGGGTACCAAACAAGATTAGTCTTAGCATAGTGTATCAAGTGTAACAAGTTTCCCTTTGTTTATCCAGTGTTTTAATTTCATAAAATCTTTTTTTATAGCAACATTATGACCTTGCCTAGCTTGCCGTATTCTTCCCTGCAGCCAAAAATTGGTTAAATGGATTCTACATGAGTGCCTGGATAAACTCATCCACAGGCATGGCAGCGCTAACAGACCATGGCCCAATATGACATTCAGCCCCTCATTAGGCCCATTAGGAACATCATGATATAATAATCTTGTTTAGAAGTAACATGTCTTCAGCCTGTCCAATCTGCTGGCTTTGATTCCTGAATCCCTTTTGATCTTGCTCACTGTGATAAGGAAGCTCTCAGGGGATTTATTCTTCATGTCTACCCAGCAGTCTTTCCTTAATAAGATAAAATGTGTGGTAATTGAGAACTGCATGCAATTAGCATACAGTCAAAAGTCTGCTTTAGGTCATCCTTGCCTGACTCAGTCACTTCTGAGTTTCTGCTGCGCCTGAGCCCTAGTAATTGTAATTCAGTGTGTTTTCATTTGACCAGAACTAACAAAAAAAAATCATATTTGCTTGCTTGCAATTATCAAAAACCAGTAAACCTCATTCTTTATTACACATTTTCTAGCACTAAATACAAAATAATGAGGTCAGCAGGTGTGGGAAAGGGTTGTCACAGTTTGTAAAATTATG